GTTATGACCATCTGAAGTTGACCCATCAACAATTTTCAGCTAACTGGCTATTGACCCTTACCTACGGTCAGACCTACGGACCGTCGATCGACTGACGGTCCATGCTGGTTAACCATCAATCAAGACATAAGCTGGGCTATTGGGACATCGATCCACGGTCCGTGGCCTGACCTACGGACCGTAGGTCCGGCCGTGGGTCAACACTTGGCCGAATTTCTGGCTGAGTTCTGGGGGAGGTTGCTGACACGAACCATGGACCTGCAGGACAGACCGTGGGTCCTCCTATGGTCCGTGGATGGTGCCCGTGAATGCCACCTGCAAGACCAGAAATCTGCAATCTGGTCTATTTTCGGATATGGGGTGTTACATTTAGTATTTCATATAATTATTTAATGAAAAAGATATATTATACGGGAAAAAAAATCTTAATTTGCTAAAATGAACAAGTGTAAGAGAAAATATTTTAATATAAGATTTAAATTAAAAAACAATTATACATGTTATTAATTATAATTAATTGATATGAATTGATTTCACATAAAAATCCCAACAAATTGGAGGATAACATTTTCATTGATTCGTATTATTGGTTCTCCTCATTATTTATTTATTTCCACAAATTACTTTCTCAATATAACTTTGAAGTATATATTCCCTTGTTCAATTTTATTTGTCACATTTATCTATTAAGAAAATAATGATTAACATGATTATTTTTTTCACAAAATACTCCTATTAATTAATATTTAATATTAGGTGTTGAAAAATAATTTAAAAAATAAGTAATTAATATTAAAAATAAAATATAAGAAAATAATTGTCCTCACTTGGCATTTTAATAATAACAAGTAAAAATAAGATCTATCTTTTAATAATGAATAACTAAAAATTAACACACAAAATAATATTTAACTTATGCCCAATACATAAAAATAGTGTGCTTCTATTCGCCAAACAAATTTTAAAATATTCTATAAAGACTAATGGAACCCATTCTATCTTCAGCTTCCATGAAATTGCAGGGGTATGCTTTATAATTAAGTGATAAAAGGATGGACATTTTTTAGAGCTCTTGATGGAGTCCAATTAATAAAGCATAAAATATATCTCTGTTAAGCAACTTTATTTTGTAAAACTTTGTAAATACTTTAATACTCTCAAACTTTTATTTAATACTCATAAACTGACATGTTGAAGCTCTCTTTTCTACTATAAAACAAGCTATTTCTCAATTATATGTGAATAATTAACAACTGACATACTGGCAGGTGTACTTTTTAGAAAAGTGCTTTTGAAAAAAAACAATTCGTGTTTGGCTAATTCATTTGAAAAGTGCTTTTAATAAAAAAAGAATTGCTTAGCTAATCTTTTTTTTAAAAATGCTTTCAAAAGTCAAATTATGAAAAAAGGCAAGTATCAATGTACTTTTAATATTAAGATTATTTTATAGAGACACTTTTTTAAATATCTATTATAATTTTTATTTTATTTTTTTAAAATTATAATTTACATGTTTAAATTTTCAATCAATATTATACCTTTTTTGGGAGGCTGAAATCTTTAATTGTTATTTTTGTCTTCTTTTTCCTAATTTTTTTGAAAAAATATTATTGTTACCTTTTTCTAATCCTACAAAAAACTACATAAAATATATAAAATAATAATATATAAACGTACATAAAATATAAAATTTATTATCTAAAATAAAAAAAAAAAAAAAAATTCTTAAATGAAATTTAACCAAACTTATGAAATATGCTAATTAATTAAAAAGAAATATATTGGTAAATATGTATAGATGAAAAGAATATTTTAGTCTTGAGAAAAAAAATTGTTTCTGCTTCTACTTTCAGAAATTTTTAGCTTCTTCCCAACAACAGAAAAACTGTTTATGCTTTCATTTAAAAACACTTGTACTGATTTGCCAAACACTTTATTTTTCAACAAAAATATTTTTTTTTTCTCAAAATAAGTATTTCTAGCCTCCCAATAGTAATGTCAAACAGGCTCTAAGTCTTATTTCAATTTAACACATTAATTCATAATTAAGTGTTTCAATTAGACTCTTTTAACTAGGAATTCAAAAAGATAAATTTTGAATGTCATATTAACTCAATTTCAAAGACGAATCTTAATAAATAAAACAATTTATTTTCAATGTCGTTTTCAATTGAAAAAAAAAAAACCTTTTCTTTTCTCTTAATAAAAAAGTCTCATGTGTCACAATCCTTAATACTTTATCATGTACCACCTAATTTTATTTCCTCACTACTTTTAAACAAGACATGATAGATACTATGTTGCCTACACTAATCTCTCTATGTAACCACTCTTTAAGTCTTTATCTAAATCACAATTTCCACAATAAAGCCAGAGAAGACATCGATGTATTGCGACCATTTGTTAGAACAATGGAATTTATTCACTTAACGGGCACTGTAACAAAAATAATTTTAGCAGTAATAAATATGCATATTAACAAAGAGTATAAAGTCTTTACCAACATTAGTTAATTGTCATTGGATCCAATGTCGCAGTAGATTTTAGGGACATTTCAAAGAGTGTTAATTGCCTCTAAATATACATATTTAGCGGTAATTAAACTATTTTTGTTAATTAATTGCCGCCAAAGATTATTTTGATGTAGTGGAAGAAGATTTTGAGAAGAAACTCATGTGAGAAAGTAGGAATTTGTAAGTTGCATTGTAAAGTTCACCTTCTTTGTAACAACACTTTCCTAATGCCTACAAATTTCTCTTGAATATGCAGTTTACTCGCAAAGTATAAACGTGAATACAAGTAATTTTGGAGAGATCAATAATAAACTTCATAAGACCAAGAGTTTGGTACATGATCAACATAAACATGGAGTAAATATTTCCAAAGGTCATTCAACTTTGAGGAATTATGTTGTAAAGTAATTCAACTTTATTTTATATCAATAAAATCACTTAACTTTGAATATTTCATTTATAAAATTGTTCAGTCAAACTTACCATATAAAATAATTTTACAAGATAAAGTTGAGTGATTTTATTGAAACAAACAAAGTTCAATCATGCATGACCAAATATTAAATAAGTAATTTTGGATCGATCAACTCTCATTGAAAGTAATTATTTCAACTATGTTACCACCTTTAACCAATGACCTAGACTATAATCGAAATGGTCCTATGGATGTCCTTAGACCTTAATGACTGAAGTCCTTTAATGCAAATCACCATATATGCAAACCTTTAAATGGACTTGGCTATATAAAGATCAGACATTTTTATGTTAAATAATTGATTCCAAGATTTCTTGACACCATAACGTTTCACTATCAACAACATAAAAGTACCCACACAATGAATACGATGATGCCACATTGGATCTAGTAAAGGTATCTTTTTCATATACCTCATCTTAATGAAACCAGATAAGGCTCATAATAGCCAATAACCTAATGAATTTGACCTATATACTTCATATAATTTTCTAAATAGGCGTTCGATTGACCACCCTTCACTACATGTGGCTACACCATTATCCCCTAGAGGGATAGAGACAAAAAAAAAATAGGTAGAGAGATTAAAAACACATAGAAGTCCAACCAATAACAATTAAACTCAGAACTCACATTATAATTTAGTAACATATTATAATATACTAATTTAAGAGTGAGGGTTAAAAACACATTTCGTTGCCTTCACATATGATTTTAACCTCACAGGATTCAGGTACATTCAACAAATTAGATCAACGCAGAAATGACAAAATAAAATTTAGTAAAATTTAGTACAAGACCAAGAGTTTGTTACGTAAAAATGTTTCAATCAAATATTAAAGAAGTGATTTTGGAGAGATTAAACTCTCCGTGAAAGTAATTACACGAAAGGTGTTACTATATTCATAAAATGAATGAAACCAATCAAACCATAATTGAATTGGTCCTTTGGATGTCCTGAATGACCTAAACTACCCTCCTTCGTCTAAAGTGTAGATGTCAAATAGTACATCACCATCCGGAAACCTATAAATCGATTTGGCTGAATCAAGTCCGGTAAAGTTAATTTTAAATAACTGAATCCAAGATTCGTTGACGCCATAGTCTTTCATTGTCCACAACATAAAAGTAGTATCCACCCCACGAATCCTTCTCCAAGAGGAAGATTAAACACAAAGCATTCCTTCCAATACTGAAACGCTACATTATTTGATGACAAGGTTGGGAGCCGCCGATTATAGCACATTTGATCTGGAAATGGTATCTCTGTAAGTGTCTGATAAAATACTTAATGAAACCACAAGAAAACAGCAAGGAAGCCAATTAAATGCTCCATGTACATATACCATACATGTGCCAAAGCTATCCCTACAAGGGCAAAATAACTTAGGTGTCTTGATACAAACTTTTCTCCAAGAAGCACTTTTTAGGGCAAGAATTCCACAGTGTGGGTCTACAGGGGTTAGTTTCATGTCATCGTGGATTGTAAGTACCACGTAGTCATTCGTAGTTTGATCGCATCCCAATGCAAAAATGGAATTGAATATTCCAAATTCCGGAGGGGAAAGTAGTATTGATTCTCTTGTAGAGGGGTTCCACAATAGAAGCTGATAATTAGAACGACTAGAAACCCCGATAAGAACCAAGCCATCACAAGAACCAAAGAGTATGTGACTCTTTGGAGGGAGATCATCAAGTTTTTGTACATCATCAGGGGAGGATAGAGAAGAAGTAGAATAGAAGTTATTTTTCCTATTGAGGTTGCAATGGTCAAGTAGAAATTTTGTGGAATTGGCATGATGGCGTTGATGCTTCATTTAAAGTAAGGATCAGATGTTATATCCCAAGATTTTGCAACACATTTGAATCGGAAAAGATATCGCACGGGTAACTAAGGATCTCCATCATCAAGTCTTGTTGAAAAAAAATTAATCCCTAGACCAAAAATATATATATAAGATAAATAAAAAACAACAATTAAACTGAATCACAAGTAGTGAATCACCTGAGAATGAGCAACAATATCCATCTCTGCAACGCTCTTCTCTGCAGTTTAATTTTCAAAAAAATAATATTAGCCAGCTTCATCCAACCAACTAGTACAGAGTATAATAAAATTAGAAGAATGGATACCTTGGCAAGTATGAAGTGATTTCTTCTGATTGAACTTTTTGCTATCGCTAATCCGAGTGGTATTTGCATTGAATTTCTTCTTTTTCTTTTGTTGGCATCTGGAAACATCGCTAATCTTCTGGTATTTGCATTGGATATCTTCTTCTTCATCGATGAATAGAAAGAAAAAAAAAAGACCTACAGGGCAAGGCTACGGCGGCGGCGGCGACGGTGGCGGCAACGGAGTAGGGTTTTGCAAAGCTTAAATGTGGTGACTGAAGATGGTATTGGGCCAAGTTTGGAGATTGGGCTAATTCGAGCAAAAGGGAAAGGGAGCCCACTCAATTGAGAGAGTTACTTTTCAATAAATATAGATTTACAGTTTTTTTTTTAAATAGACAAACGTCATAGGAGACGTACACTAATCATTCAATATAATTTGTCAATAGTTATAGAAACTATATACTAATTATATGATATCGCTTATTTATGCATGAATTATACACTGATTATATAGTATGATACACTCCAAAAGATTTATATAGCTTAATTATACATGAAGTATACATTAACGAATTGAAGAAGAAGAAGAAGCAATAGCCAATTCAGTCAATTTTGGTAATTTTTAAAAATTGAGCCAACTTTTGAATTATGCAAAGGGTGGAGTGATATTTTGCATAATTTGTCCGATTAACAAAGGCAAACGCCACAAATCCAGTAATTTAAGGGCATTGATAGTTTCAATAATTATATATTTTGTGTGAGTTACCTCTAGATACAACGTATTTGCTTTTATGTAGCGAATGTATCTCGTTATCTCACGAAGCATCTTTTTAGCTATAATTACGTGTGCCTCTCTCCTATCTTCCTCTCTCTCTCACACACCTCTCTCCTCTCATATACATATACAAATACTAATTATACATATACAATTATATGATAGATATACAAATACAATTCGCCTCTCTCCATTCTCTTCCTTCTCTCACTCGCCCCTCTCCTCCCTCTCCCAATATACATATGTATACCAGTTACGTATATACAATTATTTAACAGATATACATATACAATTCGACAAATATACCAATACAATTCACCCCTTTCCACTCTCTCGCTCGCCTCTCTCCTCCGTCTCCCAATCTCTCTTGCCTCTCTCCTCCCTCCAACATGTAGCTACGAATCATAAATAACAAATTATAGCTATGTGGCCTCATTAAGTTATTTTTAGTGGCTATTTACGAAATTTCCCCATATTAAATCTTGGAAAAATTACAGAAATCCCACATTTTAGTTTACTTATTACCATTATCCCCTATAAGTTTTACAAATCTCCAAAATCCCTCATTTTCGCGCATCAATTTAGTGTATCATGTATAAAATGTACATCAGATTAGTGTATCATGTATAAAATGTAATGTATCTTACTTAACGATTAATGTATCTCGCGCATCAGATTAATGTATCAGCACTTATATTATTGTATCCGTTTGAGGGATTTCTGTAATTATAAAACTTTTAAGGGATAGATTGTAATTTTGCCTTAAAAGTATGTGATTTATATAATTTGCCCTTAAATCTTTCAAGTGGGCCTAATCAACCCAATTTAGTCCCAGTAAGCACAACCCATTAAAGGCCAAGCATCAGTGTGACTCCGACCGACTTCCTGGACTCGATTCAGAATAATCAATTAGGTTATCATTCTGTCGATTATGTTATCATCCTATGCAAGTCTCGAAAAGACTTTGATGCCTTCACTGATCGAGAAGACACAAAAGGAATTCATCCTCCGTTTGTAACTAGGTATCGTCTTATCGATAAGAAAGCATAGTTATATATCGAATAGCTAATCTTACTTTGTAACTCAACAAACTAAGTAATTCAAAGGCTCAAATTAAATAGGAATGCAATTGAATATTGATGATAAACACCAATCAAAATTGATATGTACTCGTAATTCAAATATATCCAATTAAGAACGCCAAACGGCCAAAGAGTCAATTAAAACCAACCGTTACAATGGATCTAGACGAATAGTCGAATACCTTCTTTTTTTATTTATTTAAGCACTAAACTTAGCTTGGTATTAATTATTCCTTTAAATACAGATATTAGCATAGGCAGATTCATGATTTTTAGAGGATGGATGTACTATTATAAAGAGGTAAATTTTAAATATAAATTTGTCCAATTTAATCTTGAGGTTTTTATGGGTGACTTCGTTAAACTTTTAAAAGTGTTGGTACAAAATTAATTTTCTCTTTTAAAATATTTTTTTTTACATATATAGCTATATTAGGTAAGGTATGGTGATTAGTGAACCCATTAACTGTATGTTACATCATTCGCTATATTTGGTTTAATCCTATAAATTTTTGCGGAGATAAAAGAAAATATGAATTTAAATGTGTCAGACTTGAAAACTTTGAAAGATTAAAGCAAATAAAGAAAAAAAAAGTATTAAATTAAAACGCTTGAAGTATTGTCAATAACTACTTAGAGATGTGTTATCAAAATTTAGAAAGAAAAAAAATAGTAAAATAAACATAAGATTTGAGTTTTTGGCCTTATTTTGAGTGGTGCACCCAATCATTATCACATCATATAATACATTAAGTATGAATTCACACATTTATATCTAAGCATTTTTTTTCTAGAAAAAATATAATATTGAAGTATTATATATGATCTAGAAAATAATATATGCAGACCTTACGAGAACCCAAAAACCCCTACCTAAATATGCCCCTGACATAAGTATATTATGGATCTTGAAATCATCTCAACTCCATGTACTTGACGTCAATTTCGAAGCCTTCGTTATAGTAGGTTCCTCTCATGCATACATTTTGAATATATAAGCACGTATTTGTAATTGAATCATATTATATGGTGTTTAGTGTAATTTATTATCTTTTAAAATAAAATTTGATTATGAAAGTTAAATAAATATTTTTAAATAATCACAAATTTGTTTTCTTGTTAGTTTTATTATTTCAAGGAGTCGCAAATCCAAGCAATATATGTACAATGGTTGTGAATCACCAAATACTATCCACTTTACAGAAATAGCATTCACTTATTATTATTTTATGACCATATCTTTGAAGAATAGTTATTGCGTTGAGTTTCAAGTTTCACAAATTAAACAACCATTTTTTTAGAATTTTAATTTTTATCGATGAAACTTCGTGATAATGTTTGGAGTTATATCTGTAGAATTTGAAATTTCATGAGTGGTGATCTTTCAATTATAGAGCTGAAAATTTAGTGATCCCCCCCCCCCCTCCCCTCTTTTGTTCTAATGATTTACAAATGATATTGAATTTTAAACGTTTACCTCATAGATAAAATTTCAAATTAAATAAATTTTAATTTGTTATTTTAAAGATTTACTGAAATAAATGGAGGTCAAAATTCAAGACTATCCATTTTCAAGATAATTAGAATTAAAAAGGGCTAAGTGCAAAAGTGAGCTTAGCCAAAAGTGCTAAACCCCAAAAGCCAATTAGGACTAATTTATTGAGAAAATAATAATAATTTTTTTAACTTGATTATAAATGAATATAACTTTATTGATATAAGTGGAACTATAGGATGGTATTGCATGTATTATGAGATGGTTTGTTTATAAAGCATCTTCAACATTTAATTTATATGTTTTTCAAAATTTTCAATCATATATACCTAGAGAAAAAAGTGGGATTGAAACTTTTAAATGAATAATGTAGAAAATTTCTCAAATGGTTCCTAGTTATTTTTTAAGTTATATTATTACATTAAAAATTAAAATTAAAGAAAAAAATGTTATTTTCTAAAATTGAGTAACTTCTATATCAACTTGATTTAGACAAACAATGGAGAGAAAATTGAAAATAACTATGAGTATGAGGAGAGAAAGACTATGATTACTATCCCCACTATCATATGAAAAAAAAAAATTGTGAACTATGAGTAAGATGAAACAAAAATAGACTATCTTGATACACCTAAGACAAATGAGTTTTTTCTTTTTCATAATGCCCTAGCATTTTTTTTTTCTTCATTTATCCCAAATATATCAAGATAATCATTGTCCTTAGTAGTATATTTTTTTCTCATGATAGTAGGGGTAGCAATCATAATTTTTGTCTCCTCAAAACTTTATTTTTATTATAAAACTAGTCACTCTTATGCAAAGAGTCAATTTATAAGTTCTATTCTATATGCAAAGAGCCAAAGTAAATAATTATATATGTAAAAAGCCAGTATATTTTATTAAATAATTTGAGAAAGGTTCCTCTAAGTTAATAAAACGTTATCCATTTATTGCAATGGAATACATTGGTTCTTATTCTTAAAATTTTTATTGATAGACAAGACACTTTAAGTAATTTAATTTTAAATTCTAAAATATTAAATAAAGTTCTACTATCTTTAACTAAAAACCTAAAAGTTAAAAATAAGATTTATTGCACTCCTAAATATTAATTGTAACATATAGTATATTTTTCTGGTGATTAAAGAATTTTTTTACTGAAGAATTGAAATTAATTGTAACTTATAACATTGAAATAAAGGCATGACAATGTGGAAAGAAGAATGCATTCTTATGTCACTATACAAGAAAATTTATAATTAAAAAATTAGGAATAATTTCAGAGACCTTCTTCAGGTTTCGCTCTATAATACTCACATTCCCTATAATTTATGATATTACGTCTACCTCCTTGAGTTTTAACTTTTTTTAACCATTCTTTAAATTTACTTAGAATAAATATAAATTAATTATGACTTGACAATTTTTCCCTTCTTTATATCGATTTCTTCATATTAATCCATATTATTAAGAACATGAATTATTTAATAAATACTTAAAATAAGTTAATATTATATATATACACGTAAATAAGTAAATTAATATTTATTAAATAAGTCATTTTTAATAATATGGATTAGTATGAAGAAATTATAAGGAGGGACAAATTTGTCAAACCCTATTTAATTTATATTCATTTTAAATAGGTTAAAAGAATGATTACAAAAATAAAATAAAATAAGGGAGGTAGGCGTAATATTGTATCCCATAGGGAAGGTGGGTGTTATAGAGCGAAACCTCGAGGAAGTCTCTAAAACTGTATTCATTGTATCATGTTATATCACGAATACAATTGATATTACTGATTTGTATCAAAATGAATACAAAGGAGAGATGATGAATTGTCACGACACAGACCATCGTGAGTGACACCCACACTAACCCTCCGGTGGGAGAACCATTTATACTAATTAGCTAACTAACTTAATCAAAATACTAAGGCATTTAAGTTACGAAAGCAAGTTAAATGCTAAGGAAAGAAATAGGGAGTTCCCATAAACTCCAAACAAAAGTCTAACAACTAAACACATATGTGAAAAATACGCCAGAACCTGAAAGTCAATGTACCAAAACATCTAAAG